AAACAAAAAGGAAAAGTCACTTATAGTATGATGTAGTCTAAATTCCCATGTCAGTTGCCAACCCTTTAAATTTCTAAATTCACCAAGCCCAGAAGTAGATTGTGGCTGCCAGGATTCTAATTTTAGTTGGAAAGCTAAATAAGTAAAAGTTTACAGATAAGAGATTTCTTAATGATCATATTTTGTAGTTTTAGAAAAAGTGAAATATTGTCATGCATTTATTAAATACACTTCCCCCATGCAATGAAAATGTTAATTTTGCTGAATGTTTAAGTTAAAGTTACTTCATACATACCATATTTATGGAATGCATTAGACAAGGTAGAAGGAATTGCTTTTTAAAAGGTTTATGTACCAAAGGTAGGCTAGTCTAGAAAAATAATAAATCAATAAAGTGCTGGCTCTTCTGATACCTACTGTAACATACTTAAACTTTCTATTTTAGGTGTATCTGTTTCTTAAGTAAACAGCTTAGGTATTTTTCTACACTTTTTTTTTCTGATGCAGAATTCAGGTTAATTAGTATTTTTCTGCATCTGATAATATGTTTGGAAACCTGGTAACTCTTCATTTTGAATTCTTCTGATTTCATATGCTGTACTCTTCAAGCAAAAAATCCTGATGTGTTTCATAAAAAAAGAAGAAGAAAAGAAATGACCCTTTTTGGATGATTCTGTGGACCTAAAAATGAGACTTGGCTTTCTAAAGTGAAAGGAAATCCTTGACCTTGATGTTTAAGGTAGATGGTAAGAAAGCAGAGAGGATGGTTGTATAATTCCAGCCAGTCATTTGAGAGAGAAATAAGCAGATCTCCAAGGCTCTAGAATGAGCCTTATGATGTAGTGAATTACTGCAGGTTGACAGCCTTAATTTCTTCACTTCCTGGGCAGCCCACTGTAGCCTTATTACTCAAGGGAAGGCTCCCTTTGAGGGCAGGGCTGGGTGTCCACACACCTTGGTTCCCTTCGAGCCCTGAGTCCTGAAGACTTGGCAGAGGGGACCCTATGCCATCAAAATTATGAGTCAGAGTCTGTCGCTTGATCTTCCAGATGCCATCTCCTTTCTGCACTGAGGTCTCCATTTCTGAAGGACCGTGAACATTTCAGAGCCAGGCTGGGGAGGGCCAGTTAGTAATTGAGCTGTGGGTTTCTGTGCATAAGTGTTTTGGAATGTGGGTTGCAGCTCAGCCTGCTTTTGAGACCAGCCTGTAAAAATGTAATAAATTATACTGAATGCTAGTTTCTTTCATAGGCATAGCCACATGTTGAAGGCTTCTTGTTGCCCTGTGCCTAACATTTTAAATACATGTGCCTTCATTTTATAAAACCTGTGGAATATCTCTTAACACTCTGTTACAGTAAGAACTATGGGCAAGTACCTCATCATAAGATTACCTGGAATTGATAGCTGTCAACCTTACTAATGTGAGCCTGGGTTGGTGTTGAATGTAGTCAGAGTTCATTTAATAGCTTCAAAAGTGTTTTCCAAAGCACTGTGGTTTTATAATGGACCATTTTGTCCTTCCTCCCATTGTTTTTCTTCCCTTTATTTATTCCAGACCTTTCTTGAGCATAGCTGGAATTTAAAGATGGGTGCAGGTTTTAGAAAGAATAATTCCTACTCCCCCTGTTACTCAAAAGTGA